CAAACTTGATAGCAGGTGCAAAGTTGATTGAATGTCAGCTTTGCATGTGCAAACAACATGCAAACAGGATTGTGTCAGCAAAATGAGGATGACAGCAGGCGCAGTCCATTTAGGATATCTGCCTTCATGAATATGCTAAACAAATGCCGATCATCAGAGAGCAAAAAAGCACTGGGAAGAGGATATGCAAATGTCTTGACTATCCATAATGCGGTTTATTAAACTAGAACAAGAATGAGGCGTAAATACATTGACAGGAGACATTACTTGTCAAATATTTGGGAAATTTAAAGAATATAAAATTAAATGAATAAAAAAAATGTGGAACTTTCATTAGATTAATTGTATTTAAAACTCTTTACTGTTGTGTTGTACCACTTTCACATACTTATCTCAAAAAAGTATATTATTGTTAATATTGTTATTGTTGTTGTTATTAAACCTCCAGCATACTGACTTTCTACTTAATTTTTTCTTTTATGGCCACTCAGCTCTGTGGCACTTCTCCACAATGACAGCCAGTAGCACACGCAAAAATATTCATGTGCTACTGGCTCACTAGAAAAGTATACCACACTTTTAAGATTTGATTTGTGAAACCTCTGAAAACTGATGTTTTCAGAGTTTCCAGTCGAGCACATGGAAGTTCAGTAAGATACACTAACGTTTGTAGATGTATCATGACAAATTATGAACAAGTTCAAGGGGAGTGAATACTTCTAGAAGCCACTAGATGTGTTAAATCAACAACATGTCCTCTTCTCTGATAATCTGCCTTGACTGACCTCAAGTATTTGCTCTTCAGTGGATTCTTTATACTTTTGTCAGAAATTTATGTGTTACACATTGTTCTCCAGCGAGGGGGTTTCCATACAAAAAGAGGAGATTCATGCATTTGATGAAGCATTCGTACATGACGGTGACTTGACTGTATATTATTCTTTTGGTTTAGTGGAGAAGATTTCCCATGGTGAAGGCTGTTTGGAACACACTGTGCAAGGGAAAAAGGTTGATTCATATTTCAATTAAAAATGTGTGATCGACACAAAGCACAAAGGGTCCTGTGTGCTTCATCATGCAAGGTCTGGAGTGGTGCAGGTCCTCACTACGTCACTGACCTCAGTTTTGCTTATTATTCTTTTCAAGTTGTCAATGAAAAGTGGTAAAGTATAATGACAAATGTCAGAACATCACATTTAGGAACACAGGTACTAAATACAAAAAATAGAGCAGTAAAACCCCCCACTATGTACATTCAGAATGTTTTTGGCTTAACGAATGTCAATTTGTCATTTCTCAATGTGGATTGTCTATAGATTGTAGCTTAGAAATTGACTTCATGGCCCATATTGTTAACAGCATTAGTTTATCTGATAACTATAGAGCTAGGTAAATGATTGTTATGAGAAGGTCCAGTCGCTCCGCAGCACCTGTGGGTCCAGAAACGAAGAAAAAAAAAAAAAGGCAAAGGGCTAACAAAAAACAAAAAAAAATAAAAGAATGAATTTATAATAAAAAATGTTTTTCTCCTGGGTAAATCTGGAAGCTAAATTATAACAAAATGTAACAAAAATATAAAAAGTGTCATTTAGTCTAAGCATTATCCTTCTCATGCTGATGTACTAACATTTTCTAAATTCTAAGGCTGTATATATTTGTCAAGACTAAATTAAACTATGTGTGCAATAAGGGGATGCCTGTTTGGAGATGGATGCACCGGAATTTATTTTGGCATATCAGAATATACGGGATTGAAAACAAACACAGACTGAATCTGAAATGGTTCTGTGGGATGCACATACTTTTTAAAGCAACTACAATTGATCTTACATCTTACACTTTTAATTACGTTTTTCAGTTAAAGCATTGTTTCTATTCATATCAGTACTGAGCCAGTTTTTGGAAATACTGCTAAAAATCTTTGTAAACAATTGTACAATTGACCAGGTATGTCCCACAGACATGTCTGTCGCAGTGTCTGAGTTTCCTGCCATGGCTCTTAAAGGCTGTTTACAAATATCACTAACAAACACATACTTCTTCTGTTTGTGGTGAGTTAATACTGTCTGGTTTAGTCATAATCTATCCCCTTAGAAATCCCCACATCCCCCCGAACAAGTCGCTCATTTATGCCTCTGACAGCGTATCTCTACCTGCCCTCACTGGCCACAAGGGTTTCACTCTGTCATGTTGTCTTTTCAATCAGCATGTAATTGGATCAGCAGCAGGGAAGTGATAAGTGTGATGTATCAGACTGAAAACAATGATTTATTACAGTATCAGGACCGCATGATCTGATCAAATCCTTCAGAACATTCCTCAGTGCCAGCCTGACACAAGCTGTGTCAAATAAAGCGCACACACACACACACACACACACACACAAATATTACAGAGATGTCTGTGCTCTCTGAACCCTCTCATGTTCACATGGTCATTCATTAAAACCACACACACACACACACACACACACACACACACACGAACAAACAGAGAAAAGATGGGAGAGAGCATCAGATAAATCCCTCTCTTTCTAATCCTCTCACTTCTGTAATTAAAGATGCTCACAGCTTGCTGTGTGAGGGCTTATCCTTCAATCTAAAGTATCTAAATGCCGTGCAGCTTTTACCTGGGCTTGGGTTTAGAGCACTAGGTTCACCGAGTGGTGTTTTGGCAACAGCACAGACGCAGCTATCACTGCCAAGAGATTAACAAGACAATGAGGTAGATCTTTATGAATGAATTAGCTGTCGTTGAATTAAGTTGAATGGAAAAGATAGGGCAGGTTATGTATATTTTATTCTAGATAACATTTATTTTAACTGTGATAAAAAGAAAGCATACGAGAAACAGAGAAGCATGTTGAATCATTCTATAGTAGTATTGAGAAAAAAAAAGCACAATGAACACTGTGATGCTTGCAATGGCACGCACCCAAGAACCTCTCTGTATTTTAATTGCCAAGGGGATGATCTGGGATTATCCCTCATATAATCATATTGTACTGACACAAGACAATGATATCTTGTGATTTATGTGGGATTAAATTTGTGGCTATCTTTTGAAGAAAACATACTGTCTTCCCCACCATCATCACCTAATAGATGCCATAAGAGGAAATCAATGAAGCATTTTCTTATGGAGATAACAAACAGGAATGCTGCTTACTTTAAATAATGAGGTCTTTAATAGCATGTACTGCAAAACCTACTGTTTCATCTTGACCAGAATTACCATAAGCAGTAAATATTGTGTATTTCAAGGCCTGGTGCTTAAAATATTTGACAAAAATATGTCCTATTATTCTTGAGGCTTTCTCATTTATAGCTTTTCAAGTTTCATAGTTATGAAACTTGAAAAGTTTTGAAATAGTTATGAAACTTGAAAAGTTTTGAAAAGCAAAAAAAATCTGCTGATTTCTCTTTAGGAAATATAAATAGTAATTTTTTCAATGCTTTCTCAATAAATTTTAAATCAATTGTGCAAACAATAGAATGTGAAATAAAGCAGTTATGCTTCAAAAACAGCATGAAGATGTGATCCTTTCTCTGAATCAGTAAAAATCTACATATAATACATATATTATACAAGATCTATTCAAAATAAATATCAGCAGTGTCTACTTTGATTTTTTTAGGGAAAAAAACCACTATAATTTACTGTTGTGGTAACACTGTTAAAACATTGTAACTGTAAAGGAGATTTCAGCAGCCACTCAATCATGAATGACTGTTAAATACTACCAAAGGAGACGTCACACTGTGTGTGGGAGAGAGAACAGTCAGTGAAACACGGCTCAGCAATTAAACATAATTGAATAAATATTCAAAAACAAAATGGATTTTATGTGCTGGGCTATCTTTTGCAACTTTTGTTTACATTTAGCATGTATTTTTCTGTTGTTTTTTTTGCAATTAGCCTAATTATCATTAGTAATGAGACAGGTCGAGTGTAAATAAGAGTGATTCAAGTCTTTTCTGTGCATCTCTAATCAATATTAATTGATTACAGTTGACACACTTCCCTTAGCTTGTTTTATTGGCTTTTAGAGCTATAACGACTATTCATACGAGTAGCACAATTAGGGTAATTTGCTTTATTACCCTTTCTACCTGGGTAAGTTAAGTGTAAAATTGGGAATGTAGTCAAGAGAAAAATATGCTACCCATTGTATCTAAAATCACACATACTACTGGCATTGATGGACATGTTAATTTAAAAGAGCAAAAGAAAAGCTTTGATGAGTGCATTCATCATTCATTATGTTGATATGATCTAATTTTTCCTGTAAAATTCCCATATTTTGAAAGCTTTCCCTTCACTCCTGACTCTGCCCTGAAATAATAAACACATTTGGGTAAGAAATGAGTGAAAGTGAAAGAATGCTTTAAAATCAGGGATACTCTTTGTGGAGGCAGAAAAGTATGTTGGTGCCAGACATAAACTCACACGACTTTGTTGATTATTAGGTTATTAAAAAAAAAAAAATCCTAAAGTAGACCCCCCCCCCCCCTTTTTTGGCACAGTTTTGAATTCTGGCGTAACAACATAGTTCAAAAAAGCTGTTATGGCTTTTTGGTTTTGCTGTGCCATCTCAAGGTTAGTGGCCCCAATTTGGCCAAGATTTATGGAAATCTTTGGAGATACCCCTGGCAACTCCTCTTTGTGCTTTTATCAGTTTACCAAAGTCCTAAAAATAAAGAAAATTACTTTTGGACAATTTATTTTGTTTGCAAGTGATTAAACTAGAAAACTATGCATATTTAAAATCATGTTGCAGATGGGTAAAACTGAATATTTCACATTTAAAGGGCAACTATTACTTTCAGTAACAGTTCTCTGCAGAGTTATTGTTTTTCTTTTTTCCGACAATGATGTTTCAGTCATGAAAATTACTATAACACTGATGCTCAGTGGGGGTTTCAAAAACGTAGGTGGGTGGGTACTTGATGTGTGACATCATTATAGGACAAAAAGAGTCGCTGGAGGAAGAGAAGGCACCAATCAATAGAAGCACTGCGGTGCGGCGCTCTCCCACAACTTCTAGAGGGCTGACACTTCAGTGCGCTTCTCTCTCAAACTTTCAGCGCCGCTTCACTTTGACTTCAGCGAGCTCTTCGTCTCTCTAAGATGTGCAGACAAGATTCCTTAGACTTTCATCGATTATGCCAACGAGTTTCCCCATAGACTTAACGTAGACTATCCCCCCCCCCCCCTCTACGTATATAACTGAACAAGACCTAACTCAACTCACAGCTGGTGAGAATATGTGGCAATCGGTGAACGGCATGGGCTGTCTTTGGTCCCCCAAGGATAAACAGCGTGGATTAAACACGAATTAATGTGGAATTTATCGGAGCTCAAAGGTGGAACGACGACCGGACACAGCGCTTTCTCGTCAGGTAAGGAGGAACCGGTGAATTTGTCAAACTACTAAAATAACAGTTTTGAGAAGTTTTTAAATAATTCCATGAAGAAAATTTCTCTTTACAATTTGTACTTTGCTCCCTTTTTCCTAGAAAAGTTACAGGGCGTTTTTATTGAACAATAAACAGTAAAGGGGCAGATGACAAAAAATGTTAATGTAAAAATTGTGCCGCTCGGATAGTATTCAGTTTTTGAAGTTTTTCAAGAGCTTTACCAGGATACATCTGGCTTTGGTACGGACGTCAGATCTAACACCTGCAAGCCTCTTGAAGTAACTCTATCTATTATGATTACATGACCGTCAAAGCCTCTGCAAACAATGCCGTCTGACTGTAATGCTGCTGTTGATGTGGATATTGTAATCTCTTTTCCCTAATACTCCTTGTGATCTTTCGCTCTGCACGTTTTTCCTTTTCTATTCAAATCACATCATCGAACATGGTTTCTTATCTCTCCTATCTGGAGACCGTATGTCTGCAGCCTCCCCCCGCCTCCCCCATCTAAAGAGCTTTGAATTTGGTTTGTCCACCCCTGTCATTAATTTTTCGCCTTGATATTTTTATGAATGAGTTCGTGTTAAGCCCAAACTCCCGCGGCGCAGTATAGCCGGTGGGGTTTGTCTCTGTTCTACATCAAAGTGGAAAAAGGTGTCTCCCATTCAAATTGTATGGAGATCACAAAGTGTTTGGGAAGCCCCAGCATGTCAATACTTCCGTGCCAGTGTGCTGACAGAAACCAACTCTTTCCACAGGGACTGACTGATCATGGTCGCCGTGGTCCGCTCTCTCATGGTACTGCTGCTCGCTCAGGTGTTGCTGGAAGGTGCTGCGGGACTCATCCCCGAGGTCGGCCGGAGGAAGTACAACGAATCTGGGAAGCAGAGCCCGGAGCGGTCGGAGAGCTTCCTCAACGAGTTCGAGCTTCGGCTTCTCAACATGTTCGGGTTGGGGCGCAGACCCACCCCCAGCAAGCACGCCGTGGTGCCACAATACATGGTGGACCTTTACCACATGCACTCTGCGAACGGAGACCACAGCACTAAACGACCCAAGAGCATGGGGAAGCACGCAGAGAGGGCCGCCAGCAAGGCCAACACGATTAGAAGCTTTCACCATGAAGGTACGTATTACTGACATACCTTCACCTGTCAGACAGCCCAAACCCATATTTAAACATGACTCAGTGCGTCAAGCTGAGCTTCAGAGTCTTCGCTGTTTTATGAAGGTTTAGTCATTTACGCACGACACGCATTCAAGTTATTTGTTACTCTTAAGAAGAAGAAGGGGAAAAAAAACTGTTAAAGTGACTCGATTTATAAACAAGCACCTCACGCACAATTTAACTAGCTCTCTTACATGCAGTGATGCAACGGCAAAGCAAACACGCCTTTAGCAGCTGTCACAGGCTTCACAAACATCAAGGGGCAGCGGTATCCCTAGGGTAATTTGTTTCTTAATAATTGATGGTGTTTGCGTGGGCTGTGAAAACAGTTTTTCCAGACACGCACCACAGGAACGGGATAAAGGGCGGTGTACTTTTTGCGCAGGTGATAGACATCACCCTGTAACTTCAAAAACAGCCCGCATTAAAGCAGCATGAACCGGGACAAAGTCATCGTGTCAGACTGAGTCATTTTTAACAAGACTGAAATTATTTGTTTGAAACGGTGGGAAGGAGGGGGGTTGCCTCCTTTTTCTTTCCAAATCGGCTCTCTCCGTCTCCCTCTCTCTCCGTGATGTGCGCAATTACGCACCTTCCTGTATCACCATAACTGCTCTCTCAGTCTAGGGGACACGTGGTGATTTCTGGAGTGAATTTTGCAGTTTAACTCCATAATAAAAGGGCTGCTAAGATGAAAAAAAAAATAGAATAAAGCAATAATTTTGTTACATTCTTAAAACACTCAAAGTAGTTTTTATTTAACTATCTTTTGATGAAATTTAAACAAAAATATTTATTAAATATTATTACATATTGTTTTGTGTACATCAACTAAAGCCTGGAGTAGCTTTGTAGGACTATTCCACTTCCTATGATCCAAGTAGTTCTTTGTGCAGCATACACGTTACTAAGTCTATTGGGGCCCTACACAGAGTCCTCATACAGAGTCCTGTGTTTGACTGGAGAAGTTTCCATCAGGGGTGAGTCAGAGGGGTGGTTGAGTGGTTGCTTGGGTGCTCTCCAAAGCCCTAGTGCAATGACACCAAGTGGCTAAACTGACACACTACAAACAATCCTGGCCTGAGCTGCAGGGCTGAGTGACTGCTCCCAGCCGACTTCTGGAAACATCTGCTCTCAGCCAACACACCTTGACACCACTGGTCATTACAAATGAGTTTAGACTGTATTTACACATGCAGCCTCTAGATTTTTTTTTTTTTTACCTCAACTTTCAAGGCGACATGGTTCCTACTTTTCTCGTATCATGTCAGTGACATTGTCGTGTTTGTTGTGCCATATAACAAGCATGCATGTACAAATGTTAATGCAACACATCGAAGCAAACAACACGAGCCGTTCATCTCATCTGCCATTCGATATTCGTTTCTCTTGGATAATGAGACTCGCTGCTATCAGTTTTTCAAAATGTAACCAATTTCCATGCCAAATAGAACATTTTCACTATTACAAGAGAAGCGATTGCCAGCAACAGATCTTAAATGAATGACCTGACGTTAGCTTTTATCTCGTATTTTGGCACACAGCACAAAAAGAAATTAGGAATGCCGACACACTCATATCTGCGGTTCACACACTTTTGACAAGCCTAAGCATGTTCACAAAGCAGTCTCAGGGAGACTGAAAATACTGTAGCAGAACCAAACAGAGAAAACAGTGACAAAAGAAGAGACAGCAAGAAAAGAGGATTTGGAGGCTAAGAGAACAGAGGGAAAATGGGATTTGGGTGCTGATGAAGGAAAGGAAGAGCCGGATCGAAAACCCGAAGAGAGGGAACGAGACACAGGGGGTTTTCCCACATCAAATGAGAAGTGATGGGTCTAATTGAGCTCTTTGTGCCTTTGGAGGGAGGTTTACGATGAGATGGTGGAATTTCCTAAATGCCTCCTTTGAAAAGCTAATAGTTTTAAGGTTTGTGTTTACTTTGCCACACCAAACAGATTAAAATGATGGCCTATACATTTTCTATGATCTTTATAAAGTAAGAGTTCAAAGCAGGGCTGCCTGAAAGAAAATTGCAGCTTTTACTAACACTTCTGTCATTTACCGTATCCCATTGAGGGGAATGCCAGTTAACTTAAGTATAAGTGTTACTTTCATTTGCCTCAGGACTGTTAAGAGCAGATATATAAATGATAGAACAAAGAATTTGCAAGTTTATGGACAATTTGTTTGTAAATTCCTCCCCAGAGCAACAATCACATAAAAAGGTCATAAGGATACTGGCAGCTTCAGCTTCTTCTGCATTTTTAAGAATCATTTTTACATAGACTAATTCCTAAGATGATAGATGAGCTATCATCTTTGATGGTAGCTCATTGCGTACGCAGGAGGAAGTTTTCTACAGTGACCAATTGTCTATGCAAATGACCCATATAACGGCTGGCTATCCGTTCTGATCTTATCCGAAAATGTTGGCACACTGCTTTCATTCTTTGACATTTAGCCAGACGATCTCAAAAGCTTGACTTTAATGATTGTTTTACATCATAATTGTCATTTGCCTGAGTCATACCTGATAGACTGATTCCACGCCCACACCATTTAATCGCTTGGCATAGCTTGAATCTACTGATCTAACAGTGAGATCTTCATCAGTGTATATCTGGAATGTGAGGAAAATAATTATTTTCATGCCAATTTACTTGTTGATTTCACTTTTGTTTGCATAATCTTACACTATGGCTTTCTATGTTGTTTCCCGTAGAATCAATGGAGGCACTGGCCAGCCTGAAAAGCAAAACAACCCAGCAATTCTACTTCAACCTCACGTCTATCCCTAAAGAGGAGCTCATAACCTCCGCAGAGCTCCGCATTTACAGGGATCAGGTCATTGGACCTGCACCTCCTAAGAACAGCAGCTCTACTAGTGGTGCTCTTGCAGGAGGCCTCCATCGTATCAACATTTACGAGATCTTCGGAGTTCCAATAGGTTCCAACAGCACAGAACCTCTGGTCCGTCTGCTAGACACCAGGCTGGTTCAGGACTCTTTGAGCCGCTGGGAGAGTTTTGACGTGAGTCCTGCTGTATCTGAATGGACTTCAGGGAATGGCCAGAATCATGGCTTCATGGTGGAGGTGCTTCATCCAGAGCCGACGGAGAAGGATGCAGGCCATTCCCGGAGAAGAAACGGGCACGTCAGAGTGAGCCGGTCCCTGCACCAGGACCAGGACTCATGGCCTCAGGCTCGGCCCCTGCTGGTAACATATGGTCACGACGGCCGTGGGGACTCGGTACTCCATACACGGGGGAAAAGGCAGGCAGCAGTCCGGAAACAACGCAGGAAGCATCAGCCAAAGGCAAGCTGCAAAAGACATACCTTGTACGTAGACTTCAGCGACGTGCAATGGAACGAGTGGATAGTGGCACCCCCAGGCTACCATGCCTACTACTGCCACGGGGAATGTCCCTTTCCATTACCAGACCACCTTAATGCAACTAATCACGCCATTGTGCAGACACTTGTCAACTCAGTAAACTCAAACATCCCCAGAGCTTGTTGTGTGCCCACCGAACTCAGCCCCATTTCGTTGCTTTACTTGGACGAATACGAGAAGGTGATTCTGAAAAACTACCAGGATATGGTGGTGGAGGGCTGTGGCTGCAGATGAGAAACAGGTTGTGTGGACACAAAGTGTGAGTGAGCAAGAGAGAGAGAGAGAGAGACACTAAGTGTTTAAGCTCTACTATGGACACCCAGTTTCCCAATGAAGACATTTATTTATATGAAAGAAACAAAGTAATAGAGATATTGAGAAAGAAGTGAAAGTATATATGAATATATTTATGTCTACATAAAGTTGGGAAAAATAAATGTTTTAATCAAAGGAATATTCCTTTACTGGTTCTGAAAAAGCATTTCTGTTGTACATTTTGAAATGGGTGCAATACCACATGAAGTATAATGCTCAGATGTTTATTTTGTATTTATTTCTATTATAACCACTTTATTTGTAAATAAATAATGTGTATTTATCATTAAAAAAACATGCAATTAGTCCAGTTTTGTAAGATCAGCAGCAGCTCTGTACGAGCGAGGGACTGTAAGGCGAAGACGTAAAGATGGGTTTTAAATTCTAACACTACACTAATTGCAACGAAAGCAATGAAATATTTAGGTAAATGTAATTAGAAACTAAAAGCAAAGATCACTAGCGTAACCAGCTGCAGCATAGTGCAGGATCACACGACAATTTACATGCCCACAAATGTAATAGACTCCTATGGGACGATTATGAAAACAGCCAAGCATGTTTTTATACATTACATGTCACTGCAAAGATTCCTGGGAACAATCTTCTGAGAGCTAGCTCTAGTGTTTATTCTTCTCCAAACCAATATTATCAAAGGAAAAAAGTGTAACTGCAGCGCTTCTGTGGAAGCTCTGACAGGGTTTATTTACAGTACAATTTGACATTGAAAGACTGCACACTGTGTTGAGACAGGGACAGCAACAAGGACAAATTTTACCAGCATTTTAATTAATTTGGATAAACATACACCTGCACCTGTCTATATGCGGCACATGCTCAGACAAATTGCCACCACGATGTCCCTCTCTCTTTCCTTTGACATGTTTAAATCATGAGGTTTTAATTAGTTTAAGCTTTCAAGGAAATCTATTGCTTCCAAAACAACACAACTGAAGCACATAAGGCACAGCAACAGCGAGAGACTCGTGTTTTATATGAAGTATCTGAAAACTTATAATGGGCATTTGAGCTACATGAAAGAACAAATATACAATCTGAATGAAAGAGAACGGCTCAGAACTGCTCCAAATAACACAGAGGAGATATCTTGTGCTGCCATAACATCACATCAGATAATAAGAGACAAAAGAGAAACCCAAAAGAGTTTTGCGGAGTAAGAATGAGTGCGCTGGCTGCTCTGTTTGCATTAGAAAGGGTTTTGAGGGATCACAGTGCAGCTCAAAATACTTTAAATAGAATGTTTTAATGTGAGTGCACGTTGGGACCATGGAATGTTGGTTTTCAATCTCAGACACATGCATATGCTTGCATGGAAAACCAACGTGGTTGTTTTTTCAATCATCTATTCAAGGATTTCCTGGTGGGCTTTTTCTCTTCGAAAACAAATGTGCATTAAACAAAGATATGCTTGTTACTTATGTGGGGAACATACATGAAAACATTAAGAAGCCCCGGTGCTTCATACAAAAGATGCAGAATCTCAAATAAACAAAAAAAAAAGAGTTACAGTCTACATGAGTTCACGTTTCCTCCGAGTAATCATGCCGACTGAGCTACTCCACATTCTGTCACTTAAAAAAATCATAAGCCTTAATGTAATTTATTTGATGTGACAGACTAACACAAAGCAGTGCATTACTGCGAAGTAGAAGGAAAATGATAGCCGGCTTTCAAATGTTTTACAAATAAAGATCTGAAAAGTGTGCTGTGTGTTTATATTTAGAAACTTTGAGCCATTACTTTGTAGAACCACAGTTGCGGCAATTAAAGCTGCAAACCTTTGGGTTTATGTCCCAACGAGTATTAAATATGTATAGACTGTAGTATTTACCCAAACTTCACTACTGAATACCTCAAGTTCAGTCAGATTGGATGGACCAAGCCTGTTAACATAGACTCTCACTTGGATTTAGATCTGAACTTTGACTAGACCATTCTAACACATTAAAATGCTCTCATCAAAACATCTCCACTGTATCTGACTGAATGTTTAGGGGTCATTAGAAGACGGAGAAACGGTCACCCATCAGTTGTAAGCAGTTTCCCTGTCCCTGCTAAAGAAAAGCATGCTAATAGCAGGACGCTACCACTATGTTTTACTGTGGGGATTTTGTGTTCAGGGTTATGTACAGTTTTCTGCTGCAAAAAGTAAAATTTTGATCTAAAGCAGCTTCTTAAGTATATATGTTGTATCGTCTACATTTGGTACAGCATCTACATATTTTTTCTTGGCATACTTCTGTTCTCATCCATGAGTTATTAGGGCAAACATTAGTTAATCAGCAGATTATCCCAAGGCTGTGGATCTCAGTAGCTCATCCACAGTTAACATGGGCATATAGACTGCTTCTCTGCTTAATCCTCTCCTTGCACAGCTCGTCATTTTAGGTAAATAGCCAAGTGTTGTTAGTTTTGTTGATGTACAATTCTCTATGTTTTGTGGATGATGCTCTGAACATTGCTTCCAGATATGCTTAAAGCTTTAGAATATTGTTTGACAACCCAGCCCTCCTCTAAATGCGACGCCTTTGTGAGCTTTATGATACCGACTTCACTAATGTTCCTTAATTAACTTCAGTGACGATCACAGAGCAGCTGCATTTGTACAAACATTAAATTATGCACAAATGGAATGGATTAAATAATCAGGTGATTTCTGGAGGAAGTTGGCTGCACTGGTTTTTAGGAGTATCTGATTAAAGGAGTCTAAAGACAAATGAATGCTATCAGATTTTTATTTGTTAAAAATGGTGAAAACCATGCATCCTTCTCATTCCACTTTCCACTTACTTTGTTATCCACTCCATGTAGTCCTAATAAAATCCATTATTTTTGGTGGTAGTGGGACAAAATGTGAAAGAGTTCAATAGGTGTGAATAATTTTCCAAGGCACTTTATCAAAGCATGTAACTAATTTATTATCTTAACATTCAAGCTCAAACTCTTTTCAACTTCAATTTTCTGCACTTGTTTTTGTTCTGTCCTCCTCCTCCATCCCCTCTTGGTCCCATCTGGTGTCAATTTTTTCTTTGTAGATCCCACCATACCACAACACTACACATGAGCTACACATACATCCCCCAGTAGCTGCCCTATTTTAATAGACTTTAGGAGGAAGTCACTTTGTTGGCACACTTAGCAAAAAATCAACACAGAAAATCTAAGCTCCACAACAGTTCCTGCCACAAATTCCAGCAGTAATGGCAAGAGTGGGATGTGGGGATTTTTTGGAGTTAAAAAAAGTGTTAGATTTAGTGGCTTTATAGTTCAAGTCCATAAAGCTTTCATTGGGTTGGGTGGAAATACTGCTCCCAGAGTGGGCGACACATGGGCAGCACTCCCAAAACCCTACTTCTGCACCCCATCCCAGCTGAACTGAGTTTCAGTTGTACTAAAACGCGACCACTGTTTCACCACCTACTGGGGCTTCTCGTTTTGGAGCCCTGTTAGTATCAGAAAGCTCCTAGGGGACCACTTCTAAACTTTTCACTAAGAAGAAGGGATCAGAGGTCAAAGTAATAAGGACCAATTATCTCCGCCCATTCTGACTGACTTCCAGGCTCATCACGTCATCATGGTCTAGTGGCTTCGAGTGTGGTCAGCCACTGGATGGAGCTGAGAATGTGTTTGTTTTTTACAATCCATTCGTTTTATCCTACTTAGAAACAATCTTTATTTTAGCACCATTTCACCAGAGATGATGATTCAAGATTGAGCTAAAAAACACAGCTGTTAGTCTGTGTATTTAGCAAGTTTCTTTTCACCTGCTGCACAGACGTGGACAAAGGCACTTTTAGAAAACAGATTTTTTTTTCTCCTTCCCTCTCCGCGAACATCTGGCAAATCAGTTAAAGGTGTCCTTCACTGTCTTTGTTTACACACAACAGAGTAACCACACAACTGATGTACATAACACTAGGAGCTGGGGCCCACTAGCATGGCAAGACTCATTCATTTTGTTTGTTGCGCAGCAAACCTCACCAAAACTGTCCGCAGTCACAAACAACCTGAATCTTAAGGGTTATAAAATCAGATTTCCAGATTTCTGGCTGGCCCAGAATTGGAAAATATGTGGCTGTGCTGTGCATCTTTGATGAAACAGAGGGCTCCTGAGATTTCAGTGGGCTCTGTGCCAAAGTGGAAGATGAAAATTAGGAGAAATATAAAGAGAAAGCTGCCACTTTAGAGTCTTCTTTCCAACTTTGGATCTTTTCTTCTTTATGTGCAGAACACTAATTTTAGAGGTGGTGTACATGGTGTTTCTGTATTCCGAGAACAGCCCGTAAGATGACGTCCGGCATAGCTAAGGCTGTGGCATCTGTGTAGCAGCTCTGAACACATCAAACAAGCAGGCGTCCACAGTTTCTGGAGCAGAGCAAAAATGGAAATTACTTTTCCAGAATGACTGTATGGTTGATAGTGCCTTTGCGTTTATACAATTGTTGTCCTTCATTTTTTTTCTAAATCCATGTTTCTACAAGCATGTGAGAGCTAAAATGTATAAGACCTTTGCAAAAATTAAGAATTTTTATTTAATAAATTTAAGCAACTTCCTATTATAAATACGTTACCACTGTATGATTGTTAGTAATAAACCTGGGTGCAAACTATGCTCTGGTACTCTGATTTCTGAATTTGAGAGCAACATACAGTAATCATTCTCTTTTGTTATATAAATTTATATAATAATTTGGCAGAAGCAAGTAAATTAGCAAATAATTTATGATACTAGCTGTTCTAATGGCAGATCCCTTTTGAATCTGTCAATGATCAAGAAAATCAGAATATTATCTTCTCTCATTGTGCCAAGCATATCCCATCGTCTTGAGTCTTTAGTACTCTGTACTCAGTAAAATAATAAAGGTTTATTAGAATAAAAGTCAATAGTAATTAATTTAGATGTACAAAAAAATAACTACAATTTATTTAATTACTTTAACTCTATAATCAAGCAGGAATGGAGTTCAAGATGTGTACTTTGGACTTTGAGGACTCACACTTTTCCACAGATGACATGGAAAGACTTCCATATGGCCCACATGTGGACAAACAAGCTTGAGGTTGGATTTGCCTCTAGACACTGACCTTAGATCAGTGTCGCGTTTTTGCCTCTCGTGGTTACAGTTAGGTTTGGAGTAAAGGGTAAACCCGACAGATCCTGGAACCTTGCCGTAGGGCGTCTCCTACGCACCAAGCTTGAAAGAGTTATTGCGGTTACACGAGCAGCCTCCATCTTTATAAGAGGAAGTGAATAGATCAATCAAAG